TTCTAATTTGAATTCTGTCTGGACAAAATTCTAATTTGAATTTTGCCTGGGCAAATTTTAAATTTGACTGGATTTGAATTTTGACCACAACATATATATATAAAGAGAGATTTATATGTTGTGATGACTCATACAATGAAATGAAGAATAGAAAAAGACAAAAGAATTATAACAATAGAAATATTGTTATATACGCAATTAGAGTGATCACAACATAAGGAAAAGTACACACACATATATGTATTAAAGTTATACATATACGCAAATCATGAATCATCAGTAGACAACAACAGATTAATAAATGTTGTAAATGTAACAATAATAACAACTATTGTCAATACATCACAGTATGGCATTAAAAAAACATAATTCACTCTTGCACTTAACTTGAATAGAATTTAAGTCTGTTTCTTATGAGTTGCATTCCGTTATATTCATAAGAAAAATCTTTGTATAACGGATTGCCCGTTGTTTTGTTAAGTTGAATGTTACTATTGAATATAAAAGATATTGTTACAAATTTGTATTGTTAAAAACGATGTTATACATGACGAAATTGACTCAATACCACTAAATTTACGTTGTTTATAATGGTAACGTTACTTCGAATATTTATTGATAGTACATCGCTACAAGTTTATCAAACAACCACATCTGTACATGATTTATTATTTGCTTTCAATTTTCTATTTAAGATTTTTCTATATGAGAGATACTATGCGGTGTAATTCATCGTGTCATCCACTAGATCAGCATATTGTATTAAATTAAAATCCATCTTTTTTCTAGTTGAATTTTCTTTAGCATTATCATGCTAAGAGCCAATTCAAGAAGAAATCGTCGCATCCTATGTAGTAGCAGATCACTCATCGAAAGTTTTTCAATTTTACATTAAAGCAAAACAATATTACATTTGATTTACTATCTACACCTAGAAAGAAAGCATATCTTCTTGAATAACCAGATAGAAATTGTTCCTCTGTGAAACAGAAGTGTTTCTCCAATTTATGGCAAAGTTTTATCTTTCCAGATTAGGTGATGTTCGGAATTAAATTCATATATCTTCATCATTTTTCTCTTGAGTAAAATGCGAGAGCAAAGCCGTTCCCAGCTTTGGTGCGTCTGAGGGAGTTGTTGCATCTCCACTTGAATGATACAACTCTGCTAAGATAGATTGTGCCTGAACAAAATACTCTTGCAGGTCCACAGATGATAATGAAGGAGCTAATTTCACATCTGGTAAGTTAAGAGCTAGAGTACTTTTGATGGCTTCGGCACTATTGTTCGGAAATGAGGAAAAATCTTGTCGACCACTTGTAAAGTGATACATTCCACCTCTTAATCGAAGCACCAAATGTAGAGTAGACTCTGCTTGAATGTTATATTGTGCAAGTATCGTTCCATCTTCTAGTTGTTTACCAGCAAATATAAGACGTTGCTGATCCACGGGAATATCCTCCTTCTCTTGTATCAAACTGTTCACAACTCCTATATCCATAACTGAAGTCACCTCCAACGTAATCGTTTTTCCTGTAAGAGTTTTCACGAAGAGCTGGAAAGAGCATGCCTTCAAAAAGAAAAAAATGCATGTTATTAAGTAAAAGTCATAGAAACAAAATTCGTTCACTTACCTCTCTTCTATTCACTTTTGCAGTAATAATACAATTTTTTTCGTGCAAATGACTTGTTAGAATAGTATCTTGTGGTTGTAGAATATTACCTCTATTCCAATTGATGTTCATCGATCCTTCAAGAGGATCCACAGTATAAGATTTCAGTTCTGCATTATTGAAGCCTAAGTGTTCTGCTAGTTGTCTTTTGATTTTCTCTACGCTATCATTTAACAGAACAGACACCTTGTAATCGGGAACGATGAGTAGGTCAAAGTTTCCTATTGAAAGTGCCACTTCACCAAATGTAATAAATACGAAACCATCTCTATACTTGGAGACCGTTGACCGCAGTTGATCATCATCTAAAATCTCAAGTTTATTTTGATTTTGAATACCAAATTGTGTCCAATCATGCAAGAACTTGGGTATGTTGTTCTTCTTAAACTTTTTCAATATATCACCAATTAATTCATGATCCATGTATTGCTGTGTCATTGGGTATCCATAAGGGTCAATAATTGTTAAAGAACGTGATAGCATTATATCATTTCCCTTGCTTACATCGGCCAATCGGTTATCAAGTATAGTTCTGATATTCTTCATTTGATTTTGAATTGCTTGAACGTGAGAAAGCAAGTCTTCATATTTGAAATCTTTCGGTTCTGTTGCAAGAACAGCTGCAGCTGTCATTATTGTATGTGTTTAAAATTTGAAAGAAAATAAATGTCTTACTAAATGTTGCTTATGATGAAATCAGACTGCATGTGAAGAAATGAGAGTCATTAAATATACACACGATGACGAATCAAAAGGAAAAATCCAAATGAAAGATGAATTCTTACTCATGATTCAAATGAGGAGAATGAAAAAAGGTGACTAATGACAGTTGACAACGGCATACTTAGTTTCATTTAAGATGGGTTTGGGTGTGGGTGGGTGTGGGTGTGGGT